GGATTTGGTTTACTGCAAATTCTTGCAAGCAGAGTTTCAAAACAGCCATCTACTGTCAAGCTAATGACCAGTCAGCAGCATGCAGCGATTGCTTCTTGATCATTTGCACTACAACTCTAAACTCCATGTTTATTTTGCAAGCTAAAGGGTGGCTAGTAACACTAATCATGAGACAAAAAGGGACACTGGACAGTCAGCAAAACTGTTTTCAGACTTGGATTTCTACCAAAGGCTCGCCATTTCTGAGCGTCAAGAAAAAGAGGACAGGCAGGGTTCCATATAGTTTGCGCACACATGGTATTAAAAGAATGTTAATGTTGGAAAGTCAAGGCTTGGAAAGCAGGAACATGCAAGATGGAAGGGTGTTCATGGGGCCCTTAATTTCCGTGGCTTTGATTTGTCCCCATCACGGAAACAAGAAAAGACATGTTGCTGAAACCAGGGTGACAACCCCTGCCATAGACTGCACGTCATTACTCCAAAGCATGCAGGTTATAGAACTTCTCAAGAAAATGTTAAAACAATTCTTACTACATGGAAACCACATTTTTCTAATCAATCGTTGGAGAATGAGAACCATTTTTGCTGAAATTCAAGTAAAAATAATCAGTCTGGGGTGTCTGGCAAGGAAAACTTCAGGCCAATTGGTTAAGGTTTGGGAAAATTTTATAAGTAAATGAAATTAGGAATTATTGGGCAACCTTAAGTATAGAAGGTGATACCAATTCTGCAAATTTAACAAAACAATCCACGTTCAGGATTTTTAAATATGACTGACAAGGATTAAATATAAAACTAAAATAGGCTACCATCTAAACATCGTGCTATACCAGACTAACATGGCTACATTTCTATCACATCTAAACAGTGTAACAGGTAAGAGTTTAAATGTTAAATACTTAAAGCATTGAAAAAAGCTAGGGCTAAACTTAGTGTGTATAGACATGGCTTATCCTAACCACTTTGCTTATGTTTATTCTTCAACCTACCCTGTTGCCTCCTTTTTTCCTTTGTAGATAACAAGCTTTTTGGGGTGGAAGAGCTGTTTTATTGTGTGTTTAAGGTGCTCACCACAAAGAAGCCCTATTTCTCTTCAGGGTCTTTGCCTGCTATTGTGATGGGCTTGTTAGGTGCTTTATACCAACTTATATAGCACACCTTATTCATTGATTCAAAGTGCTTCACAAATGAGGTGAGCATCGTTATTCCCGCCTAAGGCACAGAGATAAGTGACTTGCTAGGATCACCCTTTTTGCCTAGGTAGATTTCACAAGAATCAACATTTCTTTAAGTGCTAGCCACCTGGATGTGCCATCATCATATGACTTGGGATGTCTTGATCTTGCTAATGAGTGTGAAGAAAAGCTGGTGAGACTTTAATATGTGCTAGTGCAGACTATCCTAGAACCACTAATGTCAATCTGCTTATTTTGGAAACTCTTGATGTGGAATAATGATTAGTGTGTGGACAAAAGCTGTAACTTCAAAATACTTTTTTTCTCTTCTGCACCTGATATGTTTCAATAGCCCTGATGGTAATTATGTGGCAGCTGGTTCAGCTGATGGGGCCCTGTACATCTGGAATGTGCTCACTGGGAAAGTGGAGAGAACTCTTGCAAAGCATCACAGGTGAGACAGAAAGCTGCCTGACTAAACTGATGCAGTAGCATGTGTAGAACCTTTGGTGAGGACATGTGGGATTGCAAATGTAGAGTTCCATTCCCACACCAATGTGCAGGGATTTTTATATGCCGCTTCTCTTTGGCTTTGCAATAGATTAGGAATTAAGGCTAGGACAGTTTTGTTTTTGGATTGCTTGTGCACAATTGGGCATTAATTATAATATTCTCTGAATATCTTAGGGGCTCCTAGCAATGCAGGTATCATAATAAGAGCTGAATGAGTGAGCTTATGTGCTTTGGAAATTATGGGGTTTAATTCCTCTTTTCCTAAATGCTGCTGTGGAATTCAGATCTGTTCTAAATTGACACCTGGCTTCCTTTCAGCTCCCCTATCAATGCAGTGACATGGTCTCCAGCCGGTGCCCATGTGGTCAGTGTGGACAAAGGAAACAAGGCTGTGCTGTGGTCTGAATTTTGATTGGAAGGAGAGAAGACAGTTTGAAATGTCTCACTTGAAGGGTGCTGGTCCACGGCTAGACAGAATGGAGGTCCAAGCCTAGATCCATCCTTCATACACTGGGCGTCATCCAATGGGCTTCACTTCTCACAGGAGAGCTCTAATGGGGCAATCAAGGATGGAGGAGCCAGAAGCAGAGCCCTTTACTGCCTCTAAGTATTCTGCTGGCACTCAGAAGCAGAGCCCTTTACTGCCTCTAAGTATTCTGCTGGCTAAGTATTCTGACTCAGCAAGGGTCAGCTGATTTGGATGGTGAATGCTACTAGACATGCCTTGACATGCCGTTATCTATGCACAGGATGGAGCCGAAGGTACTAGCCAGATTCCCTCACCGGACAGCGGTGCCAAATATCCTATTATGCGAATGTATGTGTAGCACTTCTGACTTGGGAGTGTTGGGAAAAGTTTACCATGTATTCTGACCTAATGCATGTCCTGTCTCCCGTGTTCTGTTCCCGTGGAGTAGCTTAAACATGGGGTTGAGGGCATCCTGAAACATGGATAGGGTGGTCCTGGTCAGTCTGTAAAGTGATGGAACAGCTGTAAACTAATTTAAATGTTTCTGTTGCTCTGGCAATTCTGCCCCCTGTGGTGTTGGCTGAGTTTGGGGCTTCTCCCATTCTGACGTAGTCTGCCTGTCAGTTTGTAATCTGAGAACTCCCTGCGTTACCTTGAACTGTATTTCAGGGAACTATCCTTTCTTTAGGGTTGATGCATCTTCGTAAAAGTTCCCTCCAATAGTTCCTAGAGCGGAAGTACCAAAAAATGGAGAAAAGAGGCTCTTCATTCAAACCAATATATTCCTAGTTTCTGGGGGGGAGGAGAAGAGGTGTGACATCTGCTTTGGGCATGGTGATGCTGCCATCATGAGGAACGTGTGCATACCAAGATTTCCAGTATCAGAAAATAAACATATAGTCTCTTCTGCTGCCCATCCGGCCTTCTCTACTGGAGGCTGTTGGAGCACAGGGAACAATGGGATTGAATCCTGAATGTAATGCTCTGATGTTGGCAATGCCAGGCCACGTCCCCCTTTCTGAGCACATGTGCAATATTCTCCTTTGTGCTTGAGCCCTTCTGTGGCCTCGCATAGGATTTACACCCTGTATCCTCAGGCTTTCAAATACATGTGGGGGTTGGAGGAGAATTAACTGTGATGTTTTGTAACTTTTATCCAGCCAAACTTTTCCACATCAGATGGGCCTTGAGACAAGCCACCAGCGTTCCGCCGCCTTTTTATTTGCACTTTATTTTGCTTCCTTCCTGAGCTTGTTTTCCAAGGAAGTGTTTTGACGGGTTAGGAAAGAGGGTGGTTTCTAGGACAGAGGTCTCTAACTCAGCCTTTCATTCAGACAACTGCTGCAGAGGGGAGTTGAGTATACAGGGCAAATCTTTTATTTATTCAGCTGCCCACCAGAACTTGATTGTAAATAAACCTGTGTTCTGCTTTTAAAACTGTGTCTCTCCTCACTTTGTTTGTGTTTCTTCTTGTCCTGAAAGAAAAGGGAACAAATATCAAGTTTCTTTAGTCCACTGGCAAAGAATGGACAGAGTGAGACTTAGATCTGGCGGTGGGGACAGCCTAGGCACTGGCTCCATAGGTGCTCTGGGGCTCAAGGACCCATGGGGGAAAAATAGCACCCACCAGCTATAGCTGCTTGGCAGGGCCTTGGAGACCAGCGGGTAGGAAGAGGCAGAGCGTATGGGAGGGGATGGGACTTTGGGCTGAAATAGGTGTGGAGCACTCACTGAGGGAAGAACTTGGCATCTGTACATAACGGATATCGCCAGTTGGTATCCATTGTCCTGTAGCCAAACTTGCCCTGTCTAGTATCAAGAATGCTGCCTTAAAACTGAAGTTAAAGGATCCAGTTCCACATTGTTCAAAGCTCCTAGCGTAAGGCACTGTGGCCCACATTTTGAGGCTCGAAAGGTTGATTATAAGGCTGGATATGTGGAGGAGTTCCTGAATTTAGGAACGCCCCATCAATTACTAGTTTCCCGGACACTTTCTACTGTGAAATCTATTCCTCTGTTGTTGCTTGAACTGCTACATCGCCTCGGTCTCCCAACGCAGTCTTAAAAATGTGGCATAAAGACTGGCTATACACTGACCACTAAAGTAACTTGAGAACAATGGAGCAAAGCCGTCCCCTCCTGTGGTTGTATTGGACAAATTACTTGTACAATTAAGAAGCTTCCTGGCCCAATCACCTCCAGTCTTGGTGTGGAAAGAAAATCAGCTGTTGGCCCTTAACCTGTAAGACCGAGCAACCATGATAAAAGCAGAGTTGCAGTTCCACTGAAAATTAAGGTAAAAGCCTGTTGGAATTTTAGAGGCACATTTTCATAGTGCTGCTCTTTGTCTGCTCCCTGAAGTTTCCCGTAGTAAATTGTGCATCTCCAGGTCCTTCTAAAAGGGTACTTGCCCAGTGCCCTGTTGACCTTAGAAGTATTGCAAATAAAGCAGATCACTAAGTGATGAGTCAGTGGGATGAAAGATTACCGGGGGATTAACTCTACGCTAATAAGAACTGGGCAGGTTGTGGTGGAGAGGATCAGGAAGGGTTTAAAATGTTATAATTTACGGTGGATTATTTGTATTTTTCTACAACATAAACAGTTACTGGGTTTGTGGTTCTTATACCAGAAAATGTTTTGCTTGTTTGACACTAAGCAAATTAACATTGAACACAAGTAAGTACGAACAGGTCAAAACATCTAACATTCTAAAAATAGACATTGTAATTTGCTATGTTGAATGATGTGAAGACCAGGACTTTAACCGGGGTCCAAAAAGAGCTAGATAAATTCATGGAGATTAGGTCCATCAATGGCTATTAGCCAGGATGGGTAGGAATGGTGTCCCTAGCCTCTGTTTGTCAGAGACTGGAAATGGGTGACAGGAAAGGGATCACTTAATGATTCCCTGTTCTGTTCACTTCCTCTGGGGCATGTGGCATTGGTCACTGTCAGAAGACAAGATACTGGGCTAGATGGACCTTTGGTCTGACCCAGTCTGGCAATTCCTGAGAGAGAGGTATGTACTGTATCCTTGTAAATGAAGTGATCAACTCCACTCTTCTGCATTTTCCCGTTTCTCCAACCTCTTCTTTCTGTGCAGGTTGCACTCAGCTCTCTTTCAAACAATCGCTACTTCCAGAGACAAGCCGTGCATTCTGGTCCAATGAAGCAGGCATGACAGAGACCGTGACCAGCTAATAGTCTCAAGTGTCCGCTACACCTTCAGTTAACATGGGAAGAGAATTTGTCCTTGCTTTTCATTTTAGGGATCCTTACTGGATTTTTCACCGCCGTTACAGTGGCTTTAAAGAGTGGGAAGTAGAGGAGTTTGCTTTTGCTTTCATGGAAAAATGTCATCCTCCAGTTCAGACTCTGAAGACTATGGAAGAGCCATTTCACATTCCTCTGAGAAGGTAGCTGCAGCTTTCTGGAGGCTTAATGTTCTTACTCTTACCTCTATTTTTGGGAGTCAGGTGAGTTTGTGCCCAAGGGCAAACAAGTAACCACTAAGCATTGATTTGAAATGGGAGCCTGTGATGTAGTGTCAATATCTTGCTGGTTGCTATACTTGGGCTGTGGGTGACCCCTACTGGCCTCTGTCTGTGAGCACAGCCCAGCGGGGACCGCCTTGAGGACCCTCATGACAGTGACCAAACCGGTCCTACCAGTTAAGGGACGGGATGGAACAAAGGAAGTGAGTGTTGGGGGAAGGGTCAGTTGCTGGCTGGAATCATGAAGGAGACAGACTAAGGAGTGGGGCTGGGAGTGTCTGGGCCTAGGCACCTCATCTCAAGGGGTCTGAAGCATCCTGGCCCAGACTCCTGTAGCCATGTCACGTCTAGGCTGGGCTGTATCCTGGAAAAGCAATAAACCCTCTCTCTTCTACTGGCTGGCGGAGTCTGTTCTTGCTGCTATGGGGCTCCATGATCGGGGGAACCCGACTCGCCGTCACAGAGCCACCATCAACCAAGAACAGCTCCCTTAGCCTGCGTTTCCCATTATTATATTGGCTATGCCAGAAGAGGCAGCATCTTCAGCAGAAATAACTGGGAGTGGGGAGGAGAAGACAGGCTGGAGGGGCAGAGTGGTGGAAAGATGGGGTGGGAGGAATTGAGTCCTGTTAGCGGGATCAGATACCTCCTCTGCTTGCCTTGCCTTTGTCATCCTCTAGCAAAAAGCAGAGGAGCCTGATGGGGGTTCTATAGGTTCCTTGTTCTGCCTCCTTGCCGAAAGGGGATGTCTGAGTTCCATGGTGCCCTATGCCCCAGGAGCCTTGTGGTGGACACAGCGGAGGAGGAAGGGAGAGAACACAGTGAAGAAGATGCTGTGGACAGTTGCCTGCTGTAGCCTGTGTTGTCGAAGGGGAGAGCCTCTTCCCAGAGGCTCTGACTGCAGGCTAGTAGTGCACTCTTCCTGTATCCCTGCCTCTGAGAAACGTTGCAAGAGCAGCGCTACCGCCGACATCCACTTGTCGCCATCGGACATTTCTTCAGCTTGACTAGGCTTTTCTGGAAGGTAGCTGCTTCCGCAGCTTGGGCTTGAGTGAAATGTATCTGTCCTGGCAAGGGCAAAGTGTCCAGCATTCAACAGAAATGAACAGCAGAATAGCTGCATGTCGCACACGCCAGGCCCCAGGAAATTAACCGCAAGCTCTGCCTTACTGGCGTGGTTATGGGAAATTGTCTATCTCCCTGGAATAGCTTTCTGCTCTACGTGCTCCTATGTGCGCCTAAAAGTAGCGGGGAAGGGCAGAACCGTGTTCCTAAAACGTCCATCATTCCTGTCATGTCCCGAGAGCTAATTCAGCATCAGGGCCTTGTGCCAGCTCCTCCACCAGTAAATGAAGGCCTGTCACTGTTGTAAAGCGCTGGTGAGCATCTCTTCCCCTCCCCCAGTGCTGACCAGGGAAGCTCTCACAAGTAGTTTGTTCCCAGCCTGTGCGAGAGTAGTGCATGCTGGGGGTGGGGGAGGGATATCTTTGGTCTCTACCCTATCAGTGTTGGCTGTGTTCCAAATGGTATTGGTTTCACTTGCGAGGTGCAGGCCTATTTTTACTGTTCCCAATACTCTTGTCAGGTTCTTGTGGGCAGGAAGAGTTGGGGTTTCAAAAACCCCAGCAGGCTGTGGTGGCGCAGGCTCCTAGAAAGCCTGTAGGCATTTGTGAAAATCAATGCTGTGGATGTTTGCAGAAGCCACTGACTCAAAGCCAACATGGGTGAATATTCACACAAGCAAACTGACCTGAGTGCTTACACAGATGGGGAACATGTGGCCCCGGGGGGCAGGATCCCCCAGCTTGCCTGGCCCCCTAGCTCCTGCACCCTCCCTCTGCCCAGACCCCACGCCCCAAGCCATTTCCTGGCAGCCTCCTCCCACACACCGAACCCCTAATTTCTGACCCCACCATAGAGCCCTAGAGGCCCCACAAAATCTATTAGCTAGGGTGCCCCTAGACCCCTAATTTCTGACCCCACCATAGAGCACTAGAGGCCCCACAATCTATTAGCTAGGGTGCCTCTAGACTCTGGGGTGCAAGGGGAATGGGGGGAGTGTGTCTGTTTCTCAGGGGCTACATAGGTGAATTTTTTCTTTCACTCTTATGGGCCCCCAACTGATTTTTTTTTTTGTTCCCCCCTGTGGGCTAGCACTGCCTCCCCCTTCTCTGACCCAAAAAAGGTTTCCCACTCTAGCTTACTGGAGCTCTGATTTCATGTGTTTATTTGTTAGGGAGTGGAAACAATACTAAGATTTCTCCAGTGAAAACTAACAAGTACCATGCCAGTATCAAACACAGCTGCATTTGAAATATGCCAAGAACTACCCACAAATTATTGTTGTGAACAAAAATTGAAATTCAAGAAAAGCAAAAGCTATTTTCCGACCATTCATGAGCTTAAAGAAGCTAAATTGGTCTAATTGTTTGTGTCTCTTGCACATGTTCTGAGTGCGTGTAATTTCCTCTTTATAAACTAACTAGAAGATTTACCCGCCGTTGCCTGGGTTCTTAACTCAATTAACTTTGTGTGTGGAGGGGGAGTGGGGGGGAATTGAAAATAAAATGAAAATGTCTTTGCTTCATTTAAATCATTGCTTTGGGGTGGGGCTAGGGATGAGGGGTTCAGGGTGCAGGCTGCCCTGAGGAGAGAGGACTACCCCAGCCTGCTCTCACCACAGCCTTTGTGGCCACTGCAGCTCCAGCGGGCACAGCTGGGGGAGGGGTGCATGTCCCCTAGCTGGGGCAGGTCCAGGTTCGTCTGCACACTCCAGCCAGAGTGAGGAATGCAGCAAACTGCACTTTCCCCTCCTTGTCGGGTAAAGGGAACAGCCAGCAATTCCTGTACAAATCGGGGAAGGGGGAACTTCAGCCCCACCCCCGCTCTCCTGAAAGGGCACTTGGGGGTTGGGAAGCTCAGGACTGGGGCAGTCCCAGA